TGTTTCTATCTCTCGCTACCTTTCCCTTCCTCTCTGAAATCAATAAACAATATATTAAAAAGAAAAGGAAAGAACCCAACAGTCACACAAGAAAACATGGAAATACCACCCACGATGGGATCAGGATGAGAGAAATAGGTGGGTGTAATGGCTGTACCCAGGGCTGGGGCACCCTTGAGCAGGGGGTGTTCAAGGAAGGCTTCCGTGTCTGTGGGCTTGATGGATACTTGAAAAACAAAGAAAAGAGGAAGTGGAGACAAGAAGGCTCTGGGCAGAAAGGACAGCAAGTGCCAGGGCGCAGAGGCTGAGCTGGCTCACATGCTGACCATTCGGGCCATGAGGAGATGGAGGAGGAGGAGGGAAGGACTTCCAAGAGGCCCTGCGGCTGAGGGGACCTGTTTCTAGGGTGTTTAGAGGCAAAGACCCATGTCCTTAAATGGCCCAAAGCAATGAGGATCTGCTGCCCCCTGGTGGTGACTGAGGCAGTCTCGAGACTTCTCCATTTCCTCCTGCTAAAACCGGCTGGTCTCAACCAGTCAGAGCTGTCAGTCCTGGCCTAACGCTGTCTCCCAGGTGCTCCTGGACAACATCATCTGAGGTCCTATGCCTCAGGCTGCAGCAGTGCCTGCCTCTGGACACTCGAAATGGTCCAGAACCACCATCACCTACCCATATGTTGACCGAGCCACCTCCCTGCCTCTGCCATCTCCATTCCTGTCCTCTGTCTCAGAAGACCTTCTTCCCCTTAAGACAGCCACAGAGGCTTTAAAAGTTTCAGTTCTGCCCCAGGACCTTTGCACATGCAGTTCCCTCTGCCTAGTGGTTCCTCCCCTAGTTCTGTCCACACCTCAACTCAAACATAACCTCCTCCGAGAGGCCCCTGCCTGAATGTATCTTGTTTGTCCGCCCACTTGTTCACTGCCCACTTCCGGAGCCCCGTGCACGAGGGACTACGTTCATTTTGCTCACAGCTATATCCTCAGCACCTGGCACATAGGAGGTGCTTAACAAATGCTGCTGAAGGTGTCTGCCTATTGCCCAGTACCCAGTATGGTTTCCAAATTTGTCCTCTCTTCTCCCCATTAAAGGCCTGTGGGGAGAGCCTGGGCAGCTCATTCACACTAAGGTGCAAAGGACTGATGGACTGCCAAATTCTGGACACCACTGACACTCACATCGGTCCCCGCCCTGAGCTGTACAAGGAGCCCAGGATAATGCGGGTATTCTGTCCTGTTCTGGGCCCCATCAGTCATAGAGGGTGGCTCAAACCCTTGACAGACTCTGGCGGCCAGGCTGGCCCTGAGGCTTAGCCCTCAGACACACTGAGCCAAGAGAACTGGTGCTTCCGCTCGGAGCCTGTTTCCTCAGTTGGGAAACAAGGTCAGGAGAGGTGCCTCCCTCCAAGGTTTCAGAGGGATCTTAAGGCTGGTGCTCGGTCAAGCAGGATTTTTTCTGCCTACACTTCTCTGCCTGGTTAGGTTCAGGGGCTGGGGCTGTCATGGTGAACTCCTAACCGTGTGTGTGTGTGTGTGTGTGTGTGTGTGTGTGTGTTCGTTCAGAGGAGGGAGCTTTCTGGCTAGCTGCGCTGGGTGTGGGGAATCCTTGAGGTCACAGGCTGGGAGCCAGGCTGATTCAGCAGGGAGGGTTCGGAGCAGGCTGGGAACCCAGCACCTGCCTCAGGACCTTGGGCAACACCTCAAGTCCTGGCCTCACCTTGGCCACCTGTCAGACAGGGGACCTGTGACTGAAAGTGTAATTTCCCCATCAGGACCCTCCTGTGGTTCACAGCGCCATTTTATGGAGGGGTAAACTGAGGCCCAGAAGGTGAGGTCAGCAGCCCACAGTGCCTTGGGGAGGGAGCTGGGTTTGGGGCGTTTCCCAGGCTTTGGGGTCCCAGGGCCTGTCTGAGCCCTACCCTGCTGGCTGTCACTTACCTCCAGGGGTGCAGTCCCAAGGAGGGGCTGCAGGGGCTGCAGGGGCTGCTGGGGCTCAGCAAGGACGGGCTCTGGCTACTCGGAGACAGACTGCAAAGAGAGAGGCCGGGGCCGGTGAACCTGGCAGCGCCCTGTGGGTGGCCCACTCCACAGGCCTGCGGTTCTCCAGGAAAAGGAGGAAGGGGCCCAAGGCCCGGGATTCCGGGTCTCCCGCAGGCCTCGAGGGCGGGGCCAGCCGGGTCACCCAGGCAAGCTCCTGGGAGGCAGCGGTGCCAGTCTGAACCACTGGAACAGGGACTTGGGGGACGGGTGGTGGCCAGCCGCCCCTCCCCGCTGATCCTCCCCTCCCCAGCCACTCACTCGAGGGTCAGCGCCGGGATGTGCAGCTTGTCCCTGCGGGACTTCATGGCGAGGCCGGGCCGCGTCTACACGGTCGGGTGCCAACGCCCCCTCCGCGGTCCCCAAAACCCTGCCGGTGGCGTGATCGCACGGGGCCCGCCAGACGCGGACGCGGGGACAGCGCACCCGGCGGACGCGGCGAGGGCCGGGCCGCGGGGGGCGGGGGCCGGCTCTCCCCGCCTCGGGGCGGGCCTCCGAGCCCCGCACCTGCGCGCAGGCCCTGCCCAGCGGCCGCAGCGATTGGGGTGCGGGCCCGGGCGGCGGGTGGCACTCCCTCGGGACCGCCGGGTCCGAGGCCCGCGGACCGCACGGAGGGACAGGGGAGGCTGTCGCTGCATCCCCGACCGCATCGCAGATCCACCGCCGGGCCCCGCCCCGCCGGCCCCGGCGCTGCCCCAGCTCTGGGGGTCTCCTGGACCCACGATCCAAGCCGCCCCAACCTCCAACCCCGGCACTGGCGCCCCCTGGCGGCGGGTCCCGGCCTCTGTGCGCACACTCCGGCCCCGGCCACGCCTCCAGGCCGGTGCCCCGCGGGTCCCCAGGCCGCGAAATCCCGTCCCCACCCCGCATTCAGATCCGACTTTGGCCCCTCCCGCCCTTCCTCGGAGGAGCCGTCCTACGAGACCCCGAAGGAGGGGGCGTCTCTGGCTCTGGCCCCCTTGAATCGCTGGGTGGACCCAGTCCGGCCCGCCGCAGGTGGCAGAGGCTAGACAGCCCTTAGGGAGTCTTTGCTCCGGTCCTGCCCGCGGTGCCGGACTTTGCCCTCCGTGGTTCGGACTGATTCACTGTCCACCACCCCGCCCCCAGCCCGGGCAAAGGCTACTCTCCGGGCAATGTCCAAGACCCAGCCCCTCTGGGGCCATAGGCTCTCCCCGCAGCTGCGTTAGCCCCAGACCAAGGAGAGCAGACGGTTAGGGCCTGAGGGCCACTCTGTACTTGTTCCCACCATGAGATTTCAAACTGTCATCAAACACCTGAACCTCTTCTTTCTTTTTGATAGACCCTCCCTTCCCCCAGCTGATGGACGGAGAATGACGTAACCTGCACCAGCAGCGGGGACATTCCTGAGCACCGAACCAGGCACTTTACATGGTCTGTACATTGAACCACCAATCCGCACCTGCCAAATACCCTAAGCCCCATTCCTAAGTCCCTAATCATGTGCCTGATATGAAACCACCAATCAGCGTGTGCAGAGTTCCCTAAGCCCCGTCTCGGTCCCTTCCCTTTCTTCCCCTCAAAAGTAAGGTGACCAGACGTCCTGCTTTTGGCGGGACAGCCCCGATTTTCACAATTTTAATTGTAAAATTTTTTTTAACAATTTCAATTGTTAAAAATCAGGGCTGTCCCGCCAAAAGCAGGACGTCTGCTCACCTTACAAAGGCATGTTCAGCCCTGCACATGTGCTTTTCTTCTTCTGGAAGCAGGCTTCCTGCTCCTCTGATGAAGCCTGTGTCCCGGTCTCCGGCCTCTGTCTCATCTCTCACTTTCCCCCTTCACCTCCCCTGTGCTCACTCAGCTACCCCTGTCTCCACGCTGTTCTTCCCAAGCCACACAGGTGCACACCTTTGTCCATGCCGTTCCCTCTGCCTGAGATGCTGTTCCCCTTAGACTCTTTCTCTAGCCTCTTCCTCTGGCTCCAGATTTAGGCTCAAATGTTACTTCCTTCAAGGTTTGTCTATGTTTCATCTCTCCCCTTCATAACATCACTTCACCACCCCTCTCCCCAAGAGAGTGAGAGTGGCGTGGGCAGGGTCCAGCAATGGCCAGTCCCCATGCCCCTTGTGCCTGGCACAGGGCCTGGCACACAGGAGGGGCTAAAAAAAAAAGTTTGCTGAAACCAGTTTGGCTCAGTGGATAGAGCGTCGGTCTGCAGACTGAAGGGTCCCAGGTTCGATTCCGGTCAAGGGCATGTACCTGGGTTGCGGGTACATCTCCAGTGGGGTGTGTGCAGGAGGCAGCTGGTCGATGTTTCTCTCTCATCAACGTTTCTAGCTCTCTATCCCTCTTCCTTCCTCTCTGTGGAAAATTAATAAAATATATTAAAAAAAAAAAAGTTTGTTAAGTGAATGACTTCCCTGGTGGGCAAGCAATCTGTACTCCCAACATGGCTGAACACAACCTCCAAAGTGGGGGTGTCTGCACTCATGCACCTCCAGACCATCAGCACAAGGTAAACCCTTCCTCTCCAGGGCATTGGTTTCTCCATCTGTTAACTAGCAACGGTGCTGAACAACATGTTCTTTGAACTTTTTGGGGATCCAGAAACGCCAACCTACAGGAACACTTCTGTGACCCTGAAGGATACAATTTTCTTACCCAGGTTCCCCGAAAGAGCTCCGATCACGGGAGGCAAGTAAGCTGCCTCCGGGACTTTGGATTGTGATTCTCTGAGAATCTGGACTCCGGGTGCCAGAGAAGCCTGCCCGCCTTCAGAAGCTGGGTGTCTTTGAGCCAGTGATGCAACTCACACCCCCATTTCCTCATTTGCAAACCAGCCTGAGCCTCCCTTGTGAATTGCTTTGCAAACACCAGGAGTAGGATCAAGGTGAGAAGCTTGGTTGTAATGATTAAGTAAATAAATTCACAATTTGGAGGCTGCAGCTGAGATCTCTGTGCCCGGCACCACAGGGCCCCCACCCAGCCAACCGACCCCGGGAAACTCACCCCCGTCCACGGCGAGGCAGGCTCAGTTCCTTCTGAAAGAAGATGAAGATGGGTCATTCCCAGAGACAAGCCCTTCCCCGCCCTGGCCCTCTCCCCACCTCCCACCCCAGAGAACCCATGCTCACCCTAACCCAGCCTATGCCTTCTTTCTGCCTTCCCCTCATCCTGGGCTCCGCTCTGCCTCAGAATCTTTGCGCCCGCTGTGCCCTCCGCCAGGATCACTCTCCACTCTGGTGCCGCTTAATGGCAGCTCAGGTCTCAGCTCAATCATCCCTTCCTCCTCAAAGCTCCTCTGGACTCCCTATCTACCTCCTTGCCCAGCTCACACCCTATGGGTATGATAAATAACTCCATTATTTAAGATAAATTAGTTACATTTTAAAAGACGTATGTCAACAGTGGCTGGATACTAACAATCTACTGAGGAGAGAGCGGTTCCTGAGTCAGCCTCACCCCGCCCCTCTCAGATCTGAAAGCGTCCACCCTCTGCAGAGCCTCCTCAGGTTTGGGTCCTGGGCCCTGGTGGGAAGCAGGGCCCTGACCAATGACTCACTATTCAAGACCCTGTTAGAGCTCAGCAAGCTGACCTGCCTAACCCTGGGTGCCCTCACACACGCAGGGCAAAAAAGCCCTGTGCTTGGGGTCCATTGTAATCTCCCCCCCTCCCTTCCCCCAGTCCACCCTCCACTGTCGCTCACCCTAGAGGGTTTTTATTTTATTTATTTAAAAATATATTTTATTGATTTTGTACAGAGAGGAAGGGAGAGAGATAGAGAGTTAGAAACATCAATGAGAGAGAGTTATCAATCAGCTGCCTCTTGCACACCCCCTACTGGGGATATGCCCGCAACCAAGGTACATGCCCTTGACCGGAATCGAACCCGGGACCCTCCAATCCCCAAGTCGACGCTCTATCCATTGAGCCAAACCGGTCCCGGCCCTAGAGGGTTTTTAAATTCTCAAAAGACCATGTGGCACAAGTTTAGCGTCTGGGAACCCTGAGATCTGGGTTATCTGTTCTCTCCTGGCTGTGGGACCTACGGTAGAACAAGTGGCTTGTACTCGGGGCTGAAGTTCTCTCTTCTGCAATTTGGAGATAACATCAAGAGGGTTCCGGGTAAACCAGCCATTATTATTATTATTTTTATTACTGTTGTGTGTTGTTGCACTCAGCAAGAGACCCCACAGACTATCAGAATAACTAGTAAATTTTACTTTTACCGAGGTGCCTACTACGCATCAAGAGCAGGGTCCGTTTTTTTTTTTTTTTTTTTTTTTTTTTTTTTTTTTTTTTTTTTTTTTTTTTTACAGGCAGAGAAACTGAGGCGCGGAGGGAAGCCAGCCGCCCACGCCTCTTGGCTGAGAAAGCGGAGAATCCAGGTCTCTGGACACCTCCTCCGCCCGCCCCCTCCCCGCCACACGGAACACGCCGGGGCGGTGGAGTGCAGGACACGTTGCTATTTTTGCCTAAGGTGGGCTGGGGGCTGCCCACGTCCGGAGCAGAGCGTTCGCTGTGGCAACCAGTGACGTCATTAGCCCCCCCCCCCCCCGGCCAATTGGAGGGCCCGGAGGCTGCCAGGCTGGGGCAGCCCCGGGGAGGAGTTGGCAGGGTTCCCCCCCCCACACCCGCAGGGGAAGAGGAGGGTTCATGGGGGTGTTACCTGTCGCCCAGCTACCTCCAGCTCAGAAAACCGAGCCATTCAAGGTGGGAGGAGGCTGACCTGCCCCCTGAGGTCCGGCTGCTTAAATACCTCTGGGGACAGAGAGCTCACTACCATTCAGGGCAAGAGGTTATAGACCCAGAACCACCACCGCTACCACTTAGGGACTCCTTCTGCCCCATCCAATTGTAATGGGATCTTAGGCCAGCTCCCCTCTCGGTCCGCCCCACTCCTACTAGCGGGGAAACAGGGAGGAGCTGGGATCTGAACCAGGGGTACCTGCTGCATCCTTCTCTATCCCAGCCATTTCTTTCCAAAGCCCCCGACAGCCCTGGTTTCCAGTCCAGCTGCCCCCCGTCTGGGCTGTGTGACCCCCCAAGCAAATCACCCCTCGGCGCCTTCGTTTCCTCTTTTGGAAAACGGCCCAGTTGCATAGGGTCCTGAGAGAAATCAGGGAGCAAGCTCAGGGGTGGCTTCTATGAATCCGAGTCAAGACAATTCTGTGAGGTTAATAGTAACCACCATTTCTTTCTTTCTTTCTTTCTTTCTTTCTTTCTTTCTTTCTTTCTTTCTTTCTTTCTTTCTTTCTTTCTTTCTTTCTTTCTTTCTTTCTTTCTTTCTTTCTTTAAATATATTTTATTGATTTTGTACAGAGAGGAAGGGAGAGAGATAGAGAGCCAGAAACATCGATGAGAGAGAGTCATTGACAGCTGCCTCTTACACACCCCCTACCGGGGATATGCCCGCAACCAAGGTACATGCCCTTGACCGGAATCGAACCCGGGACCTTTCAGTCCCCAAGCCGACGCTCTATCCATTGAGCCAAACCGGTTTTGGCAGTAACCACCATTTCTTAATGTGCTTCCCAAACACAAAAGGATGTGAAGTGGCAGAGAGGAGAGGAGAAGATGAGCAGCCCCCTATCCCTTCACTTCCCCCTCCCAAAGGAGGGGCCTAACAGAACTCTCCAGGCACCCCCCCAAAACAACAAGAACAACAACAACAACAAAACAACCCTGGCTTCCTGCATCATCTGCTTTGGCCCTCAGGCCCCTCTTTTCATTTAAAAATATATATATATTTTGCCAGGACCGGTTCGGCTCAATGGATAGAGCGTCGGCTTGGGGACTGAAGGGTCCCGGATTCGATTCCGGTCAACAGCATGTACCTTGGTTGTGGGCATATCCCCGGTAGGGGGTGTGCAAGAGGCAGCTGATCGATGACTCTCTCTCATCGATGTTTCTAACTCTCTATTTCTCTCCCTTCCTCTCTGTATAAAATCATAAAATATATATATATATATATATATATATATATATATATATATATATATATTGATTTTTTTACAAAGAGGAAGGGAGAGAGATAGTTAGAAACATTGATGAGCTGCCTCCTACACACTCCCTACTGGAGATGTGCCCCAAACCAAGGTACATGCCCTTGACCAGAATTGAACCTGAGGTCCTTGAGTCCACAAGCCAACACTATCCACCGAGCCAACTAGATAGGGCATCAGGCATAGGAAGGGGACCATGATTCCCTGGAGCTGCCTTTTAAAAATTATAGTTACAGCCCAAGCTGGTTTGGTTCAGTGGATAGAGTGCCAGCCTTCAGAGTCCCAGGTTCAATTCTGGTCAAGGGCACATGCCCGGATTTCGGGCTCAATCCCCAGTCAAGGGCATGCAGGAGGCAGCCGACCAAACTGATGTTTCTCCCTTCCTCTCTGAAATCAATAAAGATATATTTTTTAAAACAATATTTACAGCATCTTCTGTGCTTGGCTGGGCTTGGCCAGGCTGCCTCCCTCCAGAAGTCTCAGCTCCATGCTGAGGAATCCCCAGTCTGGAGAAGACAGAGCAGGACGAGGTGTCCCACAGGAGGCACTGAGGGGACCCAGAGGGAGAGAAGGGGTTGGGGGGGGGGCATTGTCCGGCTGGGCCAGCAGGCTAGTGGGAAACAGAAGGGTGAAGGTGTGACAGCAAGGTGGGCACCAAGCCCCACGGGAAGCTCTCAGCTGGAGCCGATGGGAAAGATGACCTCAGGGACCATCTTGGAGAAGCACCGGCTTCCGGGGAGAGAGGAAGTGGGACTGGGCCCCGAAGAAGCACGATGGACCTTCCAGCTGGAGCAGAGACAAAATCCAGACCCAGGCTCTACTGCCCCTGGATACTGTGTTTGGGGACCTGGTGTTGTTAAAAATTTGTCGTTTGGCAAGTGGGAGATGATGGGAAAATAGTCATGGTTGTAATAACGGCTCGTGGTAACTGGTTCCTATAAATGCTACCCAGAAGTCTGAACTTGACCAAACCAGGAAGGTCCACTCCTCCCCTGACCCACAGCCAGCACCAGCTGGTGGCCCCCAAACCGGTGGCCCGTGGCCCGAGTGGGGTGGTGTGGAGGGGAAGCAGGACCTGCCGGGATTTACATCCCCATTCTGCCCCCGCCCCCTTGATGGGACCCCTCAACAACAGCGGCTACATTTCTCAGCCTCCATTTCCCCTTTTGAACACCGGGGCCGGGTGCTTCCTCCCAGGGGAACAGGCCCCCACTTCCTGACGTTCGAAGCGCCCCCACTCGCCTACCAGAAGGCTGTTTCTCTATTTTAAGAGGCCGCGGGCGGGGCTCCAGCCTAACTGGGGCTTCAGGCGGAGCCTGTCCCCTCACAACACCCCGCTGCTCCCCAGTCCTGCCCCCCCCTCCTCTTCGGGCTCTGGCCTCCGCCTACCCTTCTGCTCCCCACCCCACCACGCCCTGGGGGGGTCCTGCCCCGCAGCAATGCCCGCTGGCTCCCTGTTCCACCCTCTTCCCCCCTCCCCCCCCCGCCCCCAACGCACCGCTCCTCAGCACCTTCAGGGGTTCGCAGCCCTGGGAATCCTGTCCCGCAGCAGCCTGGGTTCCAGCCCGCCTTCCCCCTTCTTTGCCAGCCTCAGTGCCCGCCACCCTCCACCCTTTCTAGTTCTCGCTGCCCTCAGCTTCTTTCCTTTCCCCAGAGATCCTGCCTCCTCGGCCCCAAGGCCACCAGCAACGCTTGGCCGGTCGCCGTTTCCCGGGGTGCCTGAGCGCCCCCCCCCCCCCCCCCCCGCCCTGAGCTCTGGCCTCCATCCCTCCCGCCCGGCTGGGGTCCGGGAGGAGAGGGCGGGAGGGGAGCGCCCCGCTGCCTCTGCAGAGCCAGGCACCCAGAAGGCACCCAGAAGGCACTCAGTCCATGTGTGCTGGGTCCATGGCCCATTCCAGGCTCCCCCCCTGCAACCTGGTGGCTCCAAAAGGCACCCTCAGGAAACGGGCAGATCCTCTCGGTTCCCTGCCTGGGACTTAAGCTCCAAGAAGTAGCTGCCACCAGGGTTCGAACCCAAGCCTCTGTGCAACCTCCTGGGTACCAGCCCCGGCCAAAAACGGGGCGCTCTTAGGCTCCCAGGGAAACGGAGGTGCGCAGAAGCAGGGGCGCCTTCTGCAGCCCGCCTCGCACAGAGCTGATCACCGGTGTCTGAGAGCCGGTTATGGACTCGGAGTCAGATCCCTGCTGGGCCACCTCGGCTTGGTGACTTCCCAGACTCAGTTTCCCCATCTGACAAATGGCCACCTGGACGGCCCAGCCTCCCCGGCTTGCCTTCGGGGTGAGCTGAGGCCGGAGCAAGGTGGCAAGTTTGAATTCCCATTAATGAATATTAGTGAGTCGCTCTAATGGGATGAACGCAACGATGACCATATGGTGAGCGCTCCTGGGCTGCTGCTGCTCATGTTATTATTGGAGCCGCTGGTGGGGGAAGGCGCATCCCTCAGCCCCTCTCTCTCGGGCCAGCGCTTGCAGCCTCAGTTTCTCCATATGTCAGAGGAGACATACCCCTTCCCCACCAGCGGGGCAAAAGGGAGAGATCAGAGCGCGCCCCGCCCCTGCCTCAGTTTCCCCGCCACCATTTTAAATAAAGACAGGTCCCCGCCCGCGCAGGGCCTCACCTGGAGCCCGCGGCGCCGCAGGAGGCTCGGCTCGTCCATGGCTCGCCGGTCTCTGCAGCGGACACGCCCTCCGCTCCGCCCCGGCGCGCGGGGCCCCCCACCGATCCAGCCGGTCAGCTGACGCGGCTGACCCCGCCCCTCCCGGGAGTCCTCCTCGGAGGCCCCACCCCATTGGGCGAGCCGGCCCAGCCCTCCCAAGCCCCGCCCCATCCTGGGCCCAGAAGTAAACATTTTTCAATGAATCCTTCTAGAAACAAGGGAGCATTGTCACCCCCATTTTGCAGATGAGGGCGCTGCGGTCCCAAGAGGTTAATCCGTGTGCTCAGGACACCCCACAAGGCTGGCACTCACCTTCGTGCAAAATGTAAAGCTCTCCCCAAACTCATTATTTAAAAAAATCAAAACTAATACAATAATGCATGATCTACAAAATATCACCATTTTAAATAAGGACAGGACCAAGCTCTGCCCTTGCACTGCCCTGCAAGGACTCTTTAGGAAGTCCTAAATTCTGATTCTTTTGCCTCACCCTAATCCTGATCCTAGTCCCAATAAAATGTTATTTATAAGAACAGGCAGCCACTGTAGTTTTGCCAGATTCTTTTCTTTTTAAAAAAAAATCTTTACCCAAAGACATGTTTTGTTTCTTTAACTGATTTTTGAGAGAGAGGAAGGGAGAGGGAAAGAGAAACATCAATGTGAAAGAGAAACATGGATCGGTTGCTTCAAGCAAGCATAGAATCTGGGATGGAACCCTGAACCCAGGTAGGTGCCCTGACTGGGAATCAAACATGCGACCCTTCCGCACAGGGGAGGGCGCTCCATCCAATGAGCCACACTGGCCAGGGCTGCCCGATCCTTTGTTGAAGATGGTTGCCTGTGAAGAGTGCCAACCTGGATATCTGGCTAAGTGCCTTGTGAGACCACCTCCTACAAGAACCTGACGACAATTGTTCAGCCCCGCTTTGCAGAAGGAAACCTAAGGCTGGGAAAAGCCTAAAACCCCAAGACAGCATCCATGTTCTCTGTTTCACTGGGGCTCCCACGGTCTCTGCAGCTGCAGGCTCCTCGTGCCCCTCTGCTGGACCTGGTCATGAGAGTATGTGAGGCTGAAGGGGACCCTCCGGAAGGTCAGCCACCAGTTGCCTGGGAGGCTCTGTAGGACTCACCACGTTATGGTGACCGGATTGGGCAAATAAAAATGCAGGGTTCCCAGGCAAAACACGTTCTCACACACATGTTTAAATTAACATACAATTCACATATCATAAGATTATCACAGTTTTGCCTGGCAGGCGTGATCAGTGGTTGAACATCGAACTGTGACAAGGAGGTCACAGTTCAATTCCTGGTCAGTCCCCTGCCCGGTTGTGGGCTTGATCCCCAGTGTGGGCATGCAGGAGGCAGCCAACCACTGATTCTGTCTCATCGTTAATGTTTCTATCTCTCTCCCTCCTACTTCCTCTCTGAAATATATTTTAAAAAATAAAGTGTAGCCGATTTGGCTCAGTGGATAGAGCGTTGGCCTGTGGACTGAAAGGTCCCAGGTTTGATTCTGGTTAGGGGCATGTACCTTGGTTGGGGGCACATCCCCAGTGGGGGGTGTGCAGGAGGCAGCTGATCTATGTTTCTCATCGATGTTTCTAACTCTCTATCCCTCTCCCTTCCTCTTCCTCTCTGTAAAAAAAATCAATAAAATATATTTTAAAAAATAAGTAAAAATAAAGTGTACAGTTTTGAGATTTTTAGCAATTCACGGTTTTGCAACTATCACCACTATTTAATTCCAGGACATATTTGTCACCCCTCAAAGAAACCCTGTGCCCATGAGCAGTCACTCCCCATTCCTCCTCCCCCAGCCTCTGACAACCGCCCATGTACCTTGTGTTTCTATGGATTTGCTTGCTCTGGACATTTCATATAAATGGGATCATGCCACACGTGACCTTTTGTGTCTGGCTTCTTTCACTTAACACAATGTTTTCAAGATTCATCTTCGTTGTAGCAAATGCCAGTACTTGGTTCCTTTCTAAGGCCGAGTAATACTCGTACTGCTTCTTGTTTATCCATTCATCTGTTACTAGACATTTGGGTTGTTTCCGCTCTTTGGCTTTGCAGCCAGCGCTGCTGTGAACATTCATAGACAAGTTGTGGGGGACATCGCTTTTCATTCTTCTAGGTATATACCTAGGAGTGGAGTTCTGGGCCAGATGGTAACTCTATGTTTAACTTTTTCAAAAACTACCAGACTGTTTTTCCAAAGCAATCTGTGTTCCCTCAACATTCTTATGATGAAATTCTCACCTCCAGGACCTCAGAATGTGACTGTATAAGGAGAAAGCACCTTTAAATAATTCGTTAGCCGAAACCGGTTTTGTTCAGTGGTAAAGCGTCGGTCTGCGACCTGAAAGGTCCCGGGTTCGATTCTGGTCAAGGGCATGTACCTTGGTTGCAGGCGCATCCCCAGTGGGGGGTGTGCAAGAGGCAGCTGGTCGATGTTTCTCTCCCATCGACGGTTCTAGCTCTCTATCTCTCTTTCTTCTTCTCTGTGAAAAATCAATAAAATATATTAAAAAAAAAAAAAAAAAAGGACCTTGAAGGTTTAATTAAAAAAAAAAAAAAAGAATTCGTTAAAGTAACATGAGGTCATGTGGCTGTATCCTAATCCAATATGACTGGTGTCTGCGTAAGAAGAGGCGAGTAGGATACGGACACGCCCAGAGCGATGACTATGAAGGCACAGAGAAGTTGGCCATCTGCAAGCCCAGGAGAGAGTCTCCGGAAGAAACCAAACCTCTGACGCCTTGATCTTGAACTTCTAGCTTCCAGGAAGAGATTTCTGTCGTTGCAGCCACTCAATCTGTGAAACTTTATGTCAGCCCCAGCAAACTAAGTCAGCCTAGCAGTTAAATTTAATTTTAGATAAACAATGAATAATGTTTCCAGTATATGTTCCATGCAATACGTGGGGCACTGTTATGCTGAAAAGTTGTGGGCTGTTTATCTGAAATTCTAATTTAACTGGGCGTCCAGTGTTTTACCTGGCAGCCCTACGCTAACTGGGCTTCAGGTTGTGGCTTGCAGATCCCAGGTGATGGGAAGCTCATGCCCTGTAATGGCCAATTGTTCCGTTTCTGGCTAGTTCTGCTTTAAAATCCTCCTGTAGCCCGGCGGTGTGGCTCTGTGGTTGAACGTCGTCCTTGAACCAGGAGATTCCTGTCAGGCAGGGCACATGCCCAGGTTTCGGGATAGACCATCAGCAGGGGGTGTGCAAGAGGCAGCCAATCAATGATTCTCCCTCATCGTTGATGTTTCTTTCTATCTTTCCCTCTCCCTTTCTCTCTCTGAAATCAATAAAAATATATTTTTAATTGATTTTTTTTTACAGAGAATAAGGGAGTGGGATAAAAAGTTAGAAACATCAATGAGAGAGAAACATCAATCAGCTGCCTCCTGCACATCCCCTATTGGAGATATGCCTGCAACCAAGGTACATGCCCTTCACTGGAATTCAGTCCACAGGCTGATGCTCTATTCACTGAGCCAAATCAGTCATGGCAATAAAAAATATTTTTAAAATATATTTTATTGATTTTTTACAGCGAGGAAGGGAGAGAGATAGTTAGAAACATTGATCAGCTGCCTCCTGCACATCCCCTACTGGGGATGTGCCCAAAACCAAGGTACATGCCCTTGACCGGAATCGAACCTGGGACCTTTCAGTCTACTGGCTCACACTCTATCCACTAAACCAAACCGGTTTTGGCTAAAAATATTTTTTAAAATAAAATAAGCTTTAGCTGGTTTAGTTCAGTGGATAGAGCATCAGCCTGTGGACTGAAGGGTCCCGGGTTCGATTCCGGTCAAGGACACACACCCGGTTGCAAGCTTGATCCCACTGGGTGTGCAGGAGGCAGCCAATCAATGATTCTCTCTCAACATTGATGTTTCTATCTCTCCCTCTCCCTTCCTCTCTGAAATCAATAAAAACATATATTTTTTAAATAAAATAAAAAACTCTCCTGTAGTCCAGGATGGGGTGGACATGTGACCTAGAGTCTTTATTCTCTTCATCCACTGTGATTAATTTAAGGTGGACATGTGACTTAAGCTCAGCCAATCAGAGTCTTCCCTGGGACTTAGTCCGGAATCTGGGGAAAAGAGATGTTTTCTGTCCTGGAGGTGGTTGGGCTGGACAAATGGTGAGCTGCTGGATGAGGAGCCACCAGAGAGGTCTCAAATTCCCCTACGTTATCTGGGGAACTCCCACACAGAACTCCTTCCAAAGTGGCCCCTTCAAATGTCCAGCAGGAAAAACATGTCCAGCAGGCAGCACTTACTGACTGACTGACTGAATGCAAATGGCGAACACCTATGCATCCTTCAAAACCCATTTCAGCTCTTTGTCTCATGTACTGAGAGGTTGCTGGTTCTATTCCCAGTCAGGGCACATGCCCAGGTTTCAGGCTCAATTCCCAGTAAGCTGTGTGCAGGAGGCAGCCAATCAATGTTTCTATCTCATGCATGTTTCTCTTTCTCTCCCCCTCACCCTTCCTCTCTCTCTGAAACAAAACAAAACACAATAAAACACGTTTAAAACATCCACTTCAAATTTTCTTTAAGAAACATCAGGGAACACTTATTAAGAGAATATATATTTTTTTGCAAACTTTTACACATCCATCAAAACCCTACCCAGATGTCTCCATAGGGGCATCAGGGACAGTGACTGTTGAATGAATTTTTTTCTTGGTAGCTTTCTATGCGTTCTTTAAAACATCCTCAAACGATCCTTTGCAGGCGTCAGGAAATCCTGGTTGAGTGAATGAAAAATGTTCTTGCTGGTGAATGATGCCTACTAATGCGTTTGTTAAATAAATGGATAGGTTTTTCTCTTTGCAAATCCTTTCTCGTCCTTCAGCATCCTCCTTAGATGCCCCTTGGGGGCATGAGGGTGTCTTAACCACATGGAGGTACGTAAGCTCAGCCCTCCTCAGAGTGAAGGTTACTCTGTCGGGGAAGAAGACAGAAGCCGAGGG